GCCCGGCCACACGCCCGCTCCCGCTCGCCGCCGTCGCCACCGGGACCGCCGTGGGCTCTAACTCTATCCCAGCGCCCTGGCTCGCAGCCCGCGCTGAAAGCTTGATTATGAAAGGCAAAGTGGCTCTTTCACCTCCCGACTCCGAGGCCGGGAGCTTTTGTTTGAGAAGAAATGCAAACGGTCATATCCTCCACCTCCCGGGCCGAAAGAAATGAGAGCGTGGCTTGGAGAGGCTCTGATGGCTACTTGAGCCTTGCGCTTCGTTCCCTTTCTCCCCATCCCGAAGTTGCGAGCTTTGGCCAGGGAAGTCGTGTCGCCGCCATTGTCGCGGCTGTTTGGGCGTAGGGGCCGCTGCTTATGTAAGTTCGGCTTTGCAGGAGCCGCCGCTCCTTGTTCTGTGATGGAGTCTTGGCGCACCAGCGGTTTGAAGAACCCTAATAAATGGGCACCTTTGTTATGGAGGTGTAGTTGAGGCTACATATTTTTCACCATGGATACTGGCAACGGGTATCTTCCAGTTTGACTCACCTGAACTTAGCAATTGAAACATCTCAATAGAAAAAAGCGGTCTTCAGATCCTGATAGTGGAAGACAAATGAAAAAACACAAAAATCAGCATACTGATGTGTATGACCAGTCCTCTCCCTATTCCAAGCACTTTTATCCCACGAGGGACAGTTGCTGGCAACAGTAGGAAGTGGCCAGATAGGAAGGTTTTGCTTGGCTGCCTTCCCAACATACCAGGTTGCATTTAGGGAACAGTCAGAAGCATGCTTAGTAATAATTTTGCCCACCCCTCACACTTTGCGCATGAGAAAACCCCCTGTTGCTTTAGGCAGCTGATTGGTGTGTTCAGTTTTCTGTAGAAGGACCTTTTGTTAATTTTCAGGACTGTGGTTTTTAGGTTCCAGTCTTGCCTCACAGTTTTTGGGTAAGACTGTTGCAGTCTTGGTCCTATCTACCTTGGTCCTATCTACACCAAAGTTTATTTGTGTAGTCACTGTTCAGGAGAGGAGTCTTTTTGATGAAGTCCCTCTGTTAAGAGTTAAAACACAAAAAGCTAGAATTCTTTGAGCCTTCTTCTAGAGATAGAGGTGAAAATACCTGGATTTCTCAGATACAGGCTTAAAGATCAGTATTGGAAGTGTGGGAAGAAGAAAGCAGCTGCTGTTCCCCTTCTCTAATGTTAATTGTAGGGTATGTGTACTGCAATAACTTTCTTTATGTTTTTAAAAATATATAAAAATATGTGCTCTCTATATGAACCTAGAGAAAAATAGGGAAGGCTACATAACCCGCAGGAAACGGGGCACTTTCTGGCTTGTTTTATATCTGTATACCTATCTTCTGTACAAATATGGACGTATTTGTCTGTGAGGAGAAATTCCTTGGTGGTTCTCCAGTGCGTCCTTCCAATTCCCTGCACGCAGCCCCTCCCTGTCCCAGGTGCTACAGTCCTTACCTGTTCATGTCTGTTCAGAGCTGGACCTGATGCTGCCAGCCACCCTCCTCTTGGTTCCCAGTCTGAAAATGGGTACATGTGCAAGTGCCAGGATGAGAAAGAAAGGTTTATTCTTTTAAGTTAATTCTTGAAAACATTCTTTTTTAGAATTTGGGCTAGAGAAAGGTCCTGCCTGACTCTCGTGTGTCCTTTCCTCTTGTAGGACTGGCGTGCCCCTGATCAGTTATTCTGATCTGAAGAATTTGGTGTCTCAAGCATTAAGACAATAGCCTGAGTTGTTCATGGTAACTATAATTTCAGTATTAAATCTTGAAAATACAGTTTGGTATTTGCTTTAAAATTATGTGTGTGTGTGTGTGTGTATATATATATATACATATGTTAATTATGCATTAGTGTTTCTGTTTTTCTGGGGATTATGTGTATTTTCTTCATATATACTTTGTTGAATAAAATTAAAACTTTTTAAAAAGAAAACATAGAACACATTATTTTACAAAGATTAATTTCTTTAACATTGTGACAGATGTCTTCGTGCAAGTTCTACATTCCTTTTGCTTATAAAATACTTGCAGTACTTCCAATCTTGATGACATTTTTGTCTGGATGGCAGATAGATTGGCATCCAGAGAGAATGAAGCTGCTCATCACTGTCTTCCCAAATGTCATCTGATTCTCTAAGGGTCATTTTAAACCTTAGCCCTCATTCAGAAGTGGCCCAAAACTGGTATGGAATAACGAGAAGACAACACCAAATGGTATATTTTGGCAATGATATTCTTTTCTAGTTCTGCAGCAGTGATTTGTCACTTCTGTCTAGGGAGTAGAACATTGAATGTTGTTAGTTATTTTACTGAATTTTCCTCTACATGAAATTAGAGTAGACACAACAGATAGGACTGGTGGATCCTTGCCTCAAACCTGTTTCTTAAACCTTGAAGCTGCGTTACTTGTCATTATTACCTCTAACTGTCGGGAAGCACAGGTTTTGTAGCTAGATTATAGCTCCTATGAGAATCTAATGACTGATGATCTGAGGTGGAGCTGAGGTTCTGATGCTAGCCCTGGGGAGCGGCTGCAAATACAGATGAAGCTTCGCTTGCTTGCCTGCCGCTCACTTCCTGCTGTGCAGCCCCAGTTCCTAACAGGCCACTGGTCTGCGGCCCAGGGATTGGGGAACTTGAACTAAGTATTGGGCAGATTCCCAACCTTATTTATGAAATGGGGAGAGTAATACCTATTTCATAAGGTTATTTGATCATTACATTTGCAAAGACATGTAAAGCACATAAAATATTACCTGGCAGGTATTATGTGCTCAATAAAAGTTGGCTATCATAACTGGACAAATATGTAGTAAACTGAACATAAATAGAAGTAACAATTCAGAAATCTCTAAGTTGGGATCAGTCTTTTCTACTCATATCTTTATACCATTCTTAACAATGACTCTGAAATTGTTAGGTACCAAAAATTGATCAGAAAAATAAAAATTTACCTGTGTTTTCTCTCTGGAAAAGTATTTTTCATAATTATCAAACTTTCTTTTTAAAAATTTTTTTTAGGAGTTTTTCATCAGTATGTCTGAAACCATTAAATATAATGACGATGATCATAAAACTCTGTTTCTGAAAACACTAAACGAACAACGCCTGGAAGGAGAATTTTGTGATATTGCTATTGTGGTCGAAGATGTGAAATTCAGAGCACACAGATGTGTTCTTGCCGCCTGCAGCACCTACTTTAAAAAGCTTTTTAAGAAGCTTGAGGTTGATAGCTCTTCAGTAATAGAAATAGATTTTCTTCGTTCTGACATATTTGAAGAGGTCCTGAACTACATGTACACAGCAAAGATTTCTGTGAAAAAAGAAGATGTCAACTTAATGATGTCATCAGGTCAGATTCTTGGTATCCGATTTTTGGATAAACTCTGTTCTCAGAAGCGTGATGTATCTAGTCCCGATGAAAATAATGGCCAGTCAAAAAGTAAGTATTGCCTCAAAATAAATCGCCCCATTGGCGATGCTGCTGACACTCAGGATGATGATGTGGAGGAAATTGGAGATCAGGATGACAGTCCATCTGATGACACTGTAGAAGGCACCCCACCGAGTCAGGAGGATGGCAAGTCGCCTACGACGACGCTCAGGGTTCAAGAAGCGATCTTGAAAGAGCTGGGGAGCGAGGAAGTTCGAAAAGTAAATTGCTATGGCCAGGAAGTAGAATCCATGGAAACCCCAGAATCAAAAGATTTGGGGTCCCAGACCCCTCAAGCCTTAACATTTAATGATGGAATGAGTGAGGTGAAGGATGAACAGACACCAGGCTGGACAACAGCTGCCAGTGACATGAAGTTTGAGTATTTACTTTATGGCCACCATCGGGAGCAGATTGCCTGTCAGGCATGTGGTAAGACATTTTCTGATGAAGGCAGATTGAGGAAGCATGAAAAACTCCACACGGCCGACAGACCATTTGTTTGTGAAATGTGTACAAAAGGTTTTACCACACAGGCCCACCTGAAAGAACACCTAAAAATCCACACAGGATATAAGCCCTACAGTTGTGAGGTGTGTGGAAAGTCATTTATTCGCGCCCCAGACCTAAAGAAGCACGAGAGAGTTCACAGTAATGAAAGACCATTTGCATGCCATATGTGTGACAAAGCCTTTAAACACAAGTCTCACCTCAAAGATCATGAACGAAGACACAGAGGGGAAAAGCCTTTTGTGTGTGGCTCCTGCACCAAGGCATTTGCCAAGGCATCTGATCTGAAAAGGCACGAGAACAATATGCACAGTGAAAGGAAGCAAGTTACTCCCAGTGCCATCCAGAGTGAGACAGAACAGTTGCAGGCAGCAGCGATGGCCGCGGAAGCAGAACAGCAGTTGGAAACAATAGCCTGTAGCTAGAGGTGATGGGACAGGAACACTTTGCCTGAGCCATGGAGACTGAGATTGCATTGTTTGTAATAAGTGGAACACCTGTCACTGTATTTTTTGTGGAAACTTACGGAGCATTGTACTCACTGGACTTAAGGCAGTGCTTGGTTAGGTATTTTACAAACATTTCAAGGAAATAACGTTCCTTGTTCTGACCAAAAAGTTTCGCTGTCCTGTCTGGTGTCTAGTATTAATGTTGCCAGTAAGTTCTCCCTCCTCTTTTTAAATGATTTTGAGGACTCCTGTGTCCAGTTCAGAAGTAAGAGACTTCTATTCCATTTTTAATTCCTCTCTACGCTTTCTGCACTGGTGAGTGCGCTGCACAGAGTGATAATTGAGTAAATTGATTTCCTAATCATCACAATTAAATGTGACTTAAAAGTACTTCATGTAGATGCAGACAATACTGGTGGGTGGGTGGTCAAGGACACTGCATAAATATGAAAACGAGGCCTGGAAATGTAGAATGGTCTTAGATTTATATTTGGTTTGCTAATTTTATATATCACTGTTTTTCACGATTTTTGTGGACAAATAATGGTTGCTTTGCTGAAGTGTTTCTTCATCCATTATGATTGCCCATAGCTACCCCAAAAGATGTGGTAACAAGTCCTGAAGGCTGAGCAAATAGACAGGGATGTTGGTGGTATGGGGGCTGAGATCTTTCATTCCTCAAATTTGGGGCATTGCTACTCTGAAACAGATGGGGTTTGTGGAATGGACCATTGGAATAGGATTAGAAGAGAGTGAATAGGAGCCTGGCTCTCAGAGACAAGGTTTTCACATTCGCAATACCAAGATTTCCTGGATCACAGTAATTCTTAATTGATTTTGAAATTGGATTTTTATTTAGTATTAGGACAAGAACGGGTATGCTTCAGCAGATACCTTTGTGTAACTTAACGGAATATCATCAAGCTTCTGGGCTCTTTGCAGCACATGATTTATCCATAAAGGAGATGCAATATCCTTTCTTAAATTAATACATTTACAATCTTTTAAGTGTGTAAATAGTATAGAAGTGTTGGTCTTACATATTTCAAGTAAAAGACAGCTGCACTTTTTTTTGCACATTGGATTAAAATAACTTCCATCAGCAAGAAACGTCAGTCTGTTTTTAACCAATATTAAAGATTGTCAGACCAAATGTTTATGTTTTTGAAGTATATTTCATCACCGGTTTCAGTTTTAAGTAGAAGTTGATTGCTTTTCATAGCCGTAAACAATTATAAATGCTGTTCTAATTTTGGTGCACAAAACTTTTTAAACCATTTCTTTAGAAATATATTGAAAAACCAACAATAGTTTGAATTATGTTCTATAATAAAGCTTTGTCAACTATTTAGAATGTACAATTTTAGAAAAATGTTGATTTTTTTAAAATTTATTTTTGGTTGCCAGGATTTTTTTTTTTACAGATACATTAAAGTCATTTCATAGTTTGTTGCATTAACACCTATAATTACTATTGTGGGAGAAATTTTATTTTTTGTCTTGGTATGTGTGTTATGCCCAAGATTGTAGGATGAAGATGCTACCTTTTTCAGAAACTTATTGGTAAAATGTTTAATTTAGTTTAAAATTAATTTAATTTCTTTTCTTAAAAGTTTATTCCATCCTAAAAGTAGTTCTGTTACTGTTTATATGCTGTCTACTAGGAGGGGAACTGGTTGATGTTTCTAGGCTGTTTTAACCAAAGCAAAGGAAAAATAATTTAGCATCTTATTGATAGCTACTTCAACAAACCATTTTTTAGGCCATCATTTTTGTATAAAAAAGAAGATATACTTTTGTCTTTCCTGTTTTTATTTTTTCCTAGCATCCTTTCATACATCCAGGTTTCTACCAGTGTATTTTCTATGTTAGCTTCATCATGGTTATAGAGTTGCAATTTAAACATGTGGTATTAACTCTCATTGAAACCACATAATCACAGTGGTACCCTCCAAAAAGCTTCATTTTCAGCCCTTTACTGGTATTATGTAAGTATTTATCATTTGTCTTATTTTGCACAAGCAATATATTTGCGTTGCAATTTCTCCAACTGGTACTTGGTTCATATGTGTTAGGGTGCTTGTCTTCTTGGTGTCAACATTCGTGACATAGCAGCTTTCCTGTCTCCTGGCCACTGAGATTGCCTCTCTCCTCACCCAGCTGGCTTCAGTAGTCCCATGAATGGTGAAGCCATCATGTTGGACAATTCAGGGTTACCTCTAATCACTGGGTGTTGATTCTGAAATGTCCTTACGGTGAACCTAAACGTCATCATTACTGTCTTTTCATTATTTAAAAGTCACCTACTTTTATTGGTTTGTACAAAGAATATTTACAAACTTGATTTTGGCTTTAATGCCAACTCGAATTGGCAATTGAGGAAGAGAATTTTAGGAAGTCTAAAGTTTAGGTTTGCTTGCTAATTAACTTGATCATAGATTTAAAATTGTTAGAAATTACAGGTCACCATTAAGTGATCCTATTACTAATAAATTTCTCCTATTGGAAGAAAAATTGAAGTTGAAGGAGAGTGATGCAAATTTATGTAATTTTGATTTAATAGATTATGTTCTATAAGGTTATCTGTAACTCGGTCATTCGTAACCTGGAATTCATTTTCCTAAGTAATGTTGTTAGTAGTGATTAGTTCCCAGAGCAGCTGGAAAAGCCTGTGTATGTGTAACAGAATTAGTAGTAAAAGTTATAGTCTTGAGTTCTGAGTCCTGGGACTTAAGGAGCTAAGGCTTCCAGGAAAGAGAATGGAGAACTATCCCCTTCCTCTTTCATTTATCTTTAACATCTCTTTCTCCATCACCCAAGCCCAGGGTTTCCCCCCAACTCACAAATGTATGGGAGACAAGTAAAACATCAGGCTGGAGGCAAAGTAAGCACTGACAACCAACACAGAGATGAGGACCTAAATTTATTCTAAAGTTTCTTTCTAATACTTAATGAGTGCTTTCAGTAATGGGGAACTCCCTATCTCCCTGATGTTACACACTCTCATCTTGAGACAGTTCTAACTGCTCTTTGTTCCTTGAATTGTCTCCATTTTTGCATACCCCTTTGTAAGTGGGAACTTTCTCCCCTTTGGAACTTTTCCAAATATGCAATCCTGCATCTACTTGACAGCATTTCAGATGTGAAAAGATAACCTGTAGTTTGGTTTATTCACCATGTATTGAGCATTGTTTGAGGTCCTGGGCTGGATCCTGGAAATAGAAAGGAAGAAGGGATTTGGCTCCCTAGCTAGCAGAGTGTGTTTCCTTTCCCAGTTCTTAAGCATTCCTTTGAAAAATGAGGGTGGCATTTGCCCATCACCTCTTATCCATGATTTCTTAAAAGGTCACCATACTGATTTTATCTTAAGAGCCTGGGATGTAATTTAGCTGGATTGTGACATTTTAGTAGTTGTGTGTTTTCATGATCTCTTCAAGAGATATTCTCACTTACCAGTATTCATGTAAATATTTTCAGTGTAACTAAAGAGAAGTGTGATTTAGTGGAAAGACTTTTGTAGTCAAATTTTAATTGGATCTCGGTTCTGTTTGTATCCGTTAATGTATAAATTTAGGCAAGTTCTTTAACTGCCTGGAGCCTTAGTCTTATCATTTAAATAACAGTGATGGGGATTTCTACTTCATAGTCTACTGTGAAGATTAAATATGATAACCAGTACAAAATAGCCCAACTGCTTTTTAGATGCACCATGAATGTTCCCTTATTCCTAAAGAGCATTCTCAGTAGAGAAGCAGAAGTCAAATTGAAGTTCTCTTGATTTTTGACATCTGTAAATTCTACAGTCAGTAACCCCAGGCTGTAGACCTAGACTTCATTTAGTCCTCTTCACCAAAAATATCTACAGAAGCTGTGTTTATCTTAGCATTTCCATAATCTTAGACCCATTTGCTGCTTTCTCACAATCTTGTGTATTCATTTTAGGGTTCTCTTGTAATCTATTATTTAAGTAGATTGTTGGTGTATAGTCAAGTTGAAACACTGGCCTTTGGATCTTCCCTGCTTTTCTTTGGATATCTGTGATGGCAGGGTCAGAATTGCAATTTTGAGAGCTGACTCTTGAGTCTCACTGTGAAATATATATATATATATTTTTTTATATTTTGCTTTTCTAAAATTGGGTGTATTTCAGACCACACCCAACCTTTCTCGTGCTCGTTTGTATGAATTCTAGGATGATCTGTTGCTTTTTTTCCCCAAAGTGTCTTACACTACTACCCAAGAATTCTGAATTTGCTTTTAGTTCCAGAATATGGGTTTACCGAATCATTTTGCTTGCTCTTTTTTAGAGGACATTACCATTAATCTTACATAAAAGTACTTTCTATAGAGTAAGATTAAAGTATATCAGTCAGCAAATGTTTATTGAATGCCTTGTATGTGCCAGGCATTGGATTAGATGCTAGGGATGTAACAGTGAACAGGACTGACAATATTCCTGCTCTAATGGAGCTTCCCATTCAGGATGTAGTTAAATGGTTACATTTCCAAATTTTACAAAATTTTATGAAGATTTACAAATAATAGTCATAAATGTGCAAAATATTTTTTAAAAATCTGCTGTGGTACATATTTTTATTCAGTTCCTGAAACATACTTTAGAAAGTAATTAAGAGTTTTTAATATATAGTCATGAAATTTAGCAGTACTGAAATAGTCTCAAGTGACTTTTTTGAATGTATGCTGAGGAAACATTTGATAAATATTACCATTTCCATATAATGATTCTCATTTTCTCTCACTGATACTGAATTTGGAAAGGGAAATATGAGACTATGGTTTATTTCTTTAAAATAATAGATCCTGGCATCAAGAACAGATATCGATGCAAAGAAAATTAGAAGAGTAAATGAACAATAACCTGGGCTTCCAGCACCTTTGAACAAGGTATATTAATAAATCCGAAGGTTCTTAGGGAGGGAACTCCATGAGCAATACAAGGTATGTGCAGCAGCAGCTCCAAAATGACAATTGAGAATCAGTTCCCAAGAGCCTAAAAACCTAGCATTTGTTGAATATTGACCAGATATCAGACACTATGTACAGATCTCTATGTACACTTTGTGACAACTCTGAGGCACACCTTATTACTGATTACACCAACATTCAAAGAAATTAAAAATCCTGCCAAAGTCAAGTCATTATCAGAGCCAGAATAGAAGAACAGGTCCGTCTGCCTCCAGAGCCTATACCATCAGTCACTGTGTCATATGCCCATGTCATATGCCCATAGGGAGCAACTGTAGCCCTGCACACATTCTTACCAATTTCAGTCAAATTTTAGGAGGAAGATGAGAGCAGCTGGAGGAGAGACAAGCACTTAGGCAAATAGTTGTCCCTAAGTTGGAACTAGTCCCAATATTTTGATTTCTCCAAGAAGTTTCTCATGCAAGGGGCCAAATATTAAACCAACATGGTTTTACCTTGCTTCAGTTCTAGAGGCTGCCCCTAAATAAAACTGCAGATAGAGTGTCATAGATTATTATGAAATAACAGAGGTACCCATTGGCTTTCTTCACATGTTCCATTATACAGTGAACCAGGGAAAACCCGCCAGACTAAAGGCCAAAAATTAACTATGTTTGTAAAAATGGTTATCTATGTTAGGAGATCTCCCCGACTTCCCTGAAATGTGCTAGAAAACTTGACTTTAGGTTCTACTTCTACTGCTTTCAAGTTATTACCACCTAGGGCTGCTTGCAGAATCTTTAATTTCTTTAGCCAAAATGCAAAAAAAGTGATTCTCTGCCTATTTTTTCCCACTCTTATTATTTCAAAAGATAAACTCATTTTTACTTAAGTAATAGATAGGAAATTTAGCTTTAAAATGCTTTCTAAGGTCAGGTATTAATGATTTAAAATATTACTGACCTCAAATAGGATGGTAAATGTAGATGGTTAGAAGGTAAACAGATGGGGAACTTAAAATTACAATTCATTCTTGTGCTGTTTAGATTTAATTAAATGAGTATGTGTATGAGTGCTGCTCTAAATCTTGGAATGCATTAGCTATTCTGTTGTTTTCTGCAGTCTTCTAGCCAATATGAAACAGGAAATATTAACCAGATTGGAAGTATACTGGATGAGTTGGCCTGATTAGTGTAAACAAGGTTATATTTTACAATCTAATAAACGTGGCATTGAGAAAAGAGGAGTGAAAACGATGGTAGGGGTGAATTTTAAGTGCTATATAATTATTTTCTCAAACCAGTGAATTATGAGATCATAAGAGTGTTCTTATTTTTTCCAGTTTTATTGTGAGATAATTGCCATACATTGCTGTATAAGTTTAAGGTGTACAGCATGATAGTTTGATTTACATATATTGTGAAATGGTTACCCCAATAGCTTTAGTTAACATCCATCATCTCATACAGAAACAATAAAAGAAAAAGAATTCTTATAATGAAAACTGTTAGGATCTACTCTCTTAACGTTTCTATATATTATACAGCAGTGTTAACTATAGTTATCATGTTATACATCACATCCCTAGTGCTTATTTATCTTATAACTGGGAGTTTATGCCTTTTTACCTCCTTCTTCCAAATATCCCTCTAGTAACCATGAATCTGATCTCTTTTCTAAGTTTGGTGGCTTTTAAAATTAGATTCTACATATAAGTGACATCATACAGTATTTTTCTTTCTCTGACTTATTTCATTTAGCATAATGCCTCCATGTTGCCACAAATAGTAGGATTTCTTCATTTTCATGGATAAATAATGTTCCATTGTATATATAGGCATACTTCAGAGAGATTGCAGGTTCGGTT